CCTTGAATTTTGGCATTTGATGCATGTACAAATCCTGCCGGAGTAATTATAAAGTTATTGCCCTTGTTACTTTTCCATTGCTTTTTTCTTGTCCAGAGCATAACTTGAAAACTGCCAGTTAGAGTTCAATACTATTTCATACACTGGTCAAGTATATTGAGAGGAAGTGCAGTGCACAGAAACTATAACTCTATTCTTGACTTATTTAAAAGTTTTTGCCCTTTGTTACTTTTTATTGTCCAGTGCATAACTTGAAAATTAATGGTTGGAATTCAATGAAACTTTATACAATGATCAAGGGCAGTGAGATGAAGTGCAGTGCACAAGAACCATAACTCTATTTGGACTTATTACAGTTATTGCCCTTTGTTACTTTTTTGTCTAGTGCATAACTTGAAAACTGGTTGTAGGAATTCAATACAACTTGTTACAATGGTCACGCACAATGAGAGGAAGTGCAGTGTACAATAACCATAACTCCATCTTCAATATTTATTGCCCTTTGTTCCTTTTCCTTGTCTTTATGGACTTATTACAGAGTAAATCAATAAAATTTCATCAATGGCCAACTGCATTGAAAGGAAATGCAACACACAAGAACCGCAACTATCTTTATTTGCCCATAACAATAACTCTATTTCAATTCTTGTACAAGGTATTCTGTTACTAGTAACATCCTAATTTCCGAAGCTGTCTTGCGAAGGATTCACCCTTAAAGTGCTGGAACCGAAATGGTTAAGCCTTTGCCACCAGTATAGAGCCAGGCCAGCTTGCACGTCCGTGCAGTCTGAACAGGCTCTATACAGAGCTAGCAAACTTTAAATATTCAAATTGATATCCCTAAAATTGATAATGGACAGTCCCAAAAAATGATAGTGGGACAAGTCCATTTAAAATATTCAGCATGTTCAGGGTTTATCACATTTAGTAATAGTTCAAGTTGTAATAGTAAAATGATGTGTCATGCGCAACAACCGGACCCCTACCTCCAAGGTCAAGGTCACACATGGTGATTAGAGGTCAACATTGTCTATTTGAAGGTACATGTATATATGTGTCCGATCCATAACTTTCTTACCCATAAATACTCAGCACAAATGTTCACAATAGTAAGACGATGTGTCATGCGCAACAACTAGTCTACCTCCAAGGTCAAGGCCTTAGTTGGACATTTAAGTTTAACATAGTCTGTTGCAGGGTATATTTTATTTCAAGTGCATAACTTTCTCATCCATCAAGGGCTTTTGAAAATACTTGGCACCTATGTTCACAGTAAGAAGATGATGTTTTGAGCGCAACAACCAGACGCCTACTTCAAGATCAAGGTCACACTTGGTGATAAAAGGTCAACATTGTCTATTCAAAGGCATTTGTGATGTCCGATCCAGAACTTTTTCATCTATCAAGAGATTTAAAAATAACCTTGCACAAATTTTGACAATAATAAGATGATATGTCATTCATAACACCTTGACCTTACATTAAAGGTCAAGGCCATAGTTGCACGCCCGATGTACTTCCAGTAGTCAGAGAACCCAACTAATTGTCTTACTTTTCAATATAATCGCCCTGTACATCAATGCACTTTGCACACCTGTGCTCCAACTTGTTTAACCATTCAAAATAGAACTCTCTATTTTGGTCCTCAAAGAACACATTAACCCCCTCCCTGAGACCTTCATTGCTTCAAAGAGGTCTACCACAAAGCTTGGTTTTCAGTTTCAAAAACAGGTAGAAGTCAGAGGGTGCCAAGTCCGGAGAATATGGGGGATGGGGAAGAATTTTAAAACCGCGGTCAGTTGCAGCAGCCATAACAACTTTGGATATGTAAGCTGGTGCATTGGCATTGTCATGCAGGAGCAGAAAGCCTTGAGACAGTTTGCCCCTCTTTTTACGCGTGATTTCTTGACACAGACGTCTCAATTCATCTGCATTGTACGTACAGTTAATGGTTAGACCTTGCTCAAGATAGTCAATCATGATAATTCCCTGACTATCCCAAAAAAGTAAAGCCATCATTTCCCCCGATGATGGCACCCTCTTGAATTTCTTCATCATTACAACATCAAACATTGTCAGAAGGCTTATCTAGGTAATTGCTCAGACGAGTTCGAACATGGGTCATTTCGGATGAAAACTAGGTCACAGGAGCTAATAATAGAAAACTCTTAACACCCTAGTGGCTACTGTTTTGATCCAAATATTCTGGATATTGGTCTGAAAGAGTTTGTTTTGATGATTTCTAGGTCAAGTTCGAAAATTGTTTACCTGGGGTCAAAAACTAGGTCACACTGTCCAAATATGGAAAAACAATACTCTAGTGGTCACATTTTTGACTCTCATCATCAATCTTTGTCAGGATGCTTGCCTAGTTTATTGCTCGAAGGAGTTTGAACATTGGTCATCTCTGATGGAAAAGTAGGTCACTGGAGCTAAAAATAGAAAATTCTTGTTACAGTGCTGCTATGATAATGTGAGAGTGACGTTGCATTTTTTGTGTATGATAATGTGAGAGTGACGTTGCTTTTTTGTGTACACAAAAGTTTACAACCTTTGTCTGAATAGGTAAAACCATGTATTTAGACGCGAATATGATTCAAGATAAGAAAGCTAATTGGCAATGTTGGTAAAGTAAATAGGATGCCATACAAATTATTTTTTATCATGAGTTCGAGCCTCACAAGTTGTCAAACCTTTTTTTAGCTCACCAGAACCAAAGAAAAGCCCTTAGACATCTTCTTCTACAGAACTAATTGATGGATGATCACCAAATTTGTCTGCAGCAATCTTGGGTAGTCTTTTATCAAGTTTGCTGATATTATTTTGATTTGACCCTTTTAGGGGCCACAACAGCTAAAAGTAAACATACCTTTAAATGTCTATTTCTACAGAACTATTAATGGATGATAACCAAACTTTGTCTGTAGCATTTTTAGCTTGACTATTTGATAATAATAAGTAGAGCTATTGTAGTCACCTGAGCGTCAGCGTCCGCGTAACCACTTATGTTAAAGTTTTTGTAATACCTCAAATATTTTCAAAGTCCATCGACATATGGCTTTGGAACTTTGCACACTTATTCACCATCATGACCCCAAACTGTAGACAGGTAGAGGTAACTGTATCAAGGATTTTGACGGAATTATGCCCCTTTTTTGATTTAGAATTTATGTAAAAGTTTCCGTAATACCTCAAATATTTTCAAAAACCATTGACATATGGCTTCGAAACTTTGCACACTTGTTCACCATCATGACCCAAACTTGTAGACAGGAGGATGTAACTCTATCATGCATTTTGACAGAAAAATGCCCCTTTTTCTACTTCGAATTTTTGTTTAAGTTTTTGTAATACCTAAAAAAAAGTCAATTGACATAGGGCTTTGAAACAAGATGAAATTTTATACTCTTTGAGAGCATAATAGGACACTCTCCAAGGCCTATAACTGATACATGGATTTAAAGAAAGAAAAATTCCCTTTTGTTAGGAAACTTAGGAAATTTTACATTATCAAGGCTTTCTTACTATTAAGCACTAAGAATACTCGAGCGTTGCTGTCCTACCGACAGCTCTTGTTGGGTTATTTTTATCAAGTTTGCTTACATTTATTTGATTGGCCCCTTTTAGGGGCCGCTAAAGCTAAAAATAGAAAAACCTTGAAACATCTCCTACTTCAGAACCAATTGATGGATGATCTCCAAACTTTGTCTGTATAATTCTTGGGTACTCTTTTATCAAGTTTGTTTATATTAATTTGATTAGCCCCTTTTAGGGGCCACTGAATCTAAAAATAGAAAAAACCTTCGAACATTATTTCCTACTGAACTAATTGATAGATGATCACCAAACTTTGTAGCATTATTAGGTAGTCTTTTATCAAGTTTGCTCATATTAATTTGATTAGCACGAGGTTTAAGCTCAAGCTTAAATGCCCCAGGTCATGGCATTTCTTCAAATTATTGTTTAAACGTATTCTATGCTCAAATTTAATATTAGAATATATTGACATTTCAACCCTGTAAAGCAGTTGTTTCAGGTGAGCGACTCAGGGCCATCATGACCCTCTTGTTTCTTTCTCAATTGAATTGGAATATAAAGGCAGTTTTGTTATAATATCCAAATGAATGATCTTGATAAACCGAAATAATGATTTTTATCCTGTGTAGTGTGATATATTTAGTATAGTAGTCATTGTACTTTTGCAGTGCACAAATATTTCGTGCCAACTTAACAATAGTTGAAACAATTTATGTACATGTATGCATTCCGTATAAGGTCGCACCAACTTGCTAAATATGACAACATTTAAAAACAAAGTGAAATGAGAAGTTAATAGAAAATAACACAGCACATATAATCTTTACAAGAAAAAAAAATATTCTTACATATTCTTACTCGATTGATAATTATACAGAATTTTTTGGGACCGAACCTTGCTGTCTTGCAATGATACATAACGAGACATTTACCTGACAACTGTACCTGCTGCGTTACGCCAACATTTGGTAAATTTGTCAATATTTTAATTTGTATGGCAAGCCTGCTTGAAATTAAGATAATAAACACAAGATAATAACTGTTTTACACCTTTATAGTGGTCTCGACCACCGCATCACTAAATAAATATCCTAAACGCACAGTAACTCTTTAGTGGCTACTGTTGTGATCCAAATATCCTGTTAATATATGGTTGGCAAGTTTGTTTTGATGATTTCTAGGTCAAGTCTGAATATGTGTTACCTGGGGTCAAAAACTAGGTCACACTGCCTAAATATGGAAAAACATTGCCCTTTTGTTTGTCTGTTCTAAGGGAAATTCAGCTGATTACACTAGCATAGAACAAAACTTAAATTATAGGCAATAAAGTTAAAATGCTTGACAAAATATGTGTATCGTTTGCTATATTTAGGTAAATGATATTTCTGTACAAGTGAAGAGTATCAAAGGGGAAGTCACTGCTGCCATGTCAGAGCTAGAGAATGGTCAGGCATCACGCCTGAATGTTGACTCCCCTAAACTCCCCTAAACCAGTCACAAAACAAGATGCATTCTCCAGTCTTACAGAGTATATCAAAAGTCAACAATACCAAAAAGCAATACAGCTTGTCAGATCTTTCAGGTATGGTTTGGTAGCGAACTATTTAAGTATTTTGTTTTAGATATCCATAGAAAAATTTATGTTTATAAGCAATTTATTGAAACCAGTATTTAACATCAACAGCGTATTAATCTGTAGAAAATCTATGACTTCTAACCATTTTCACAAGAAAATGGACTAAAAGTACTTTTCCATATTTTTGATATCTGAAAACAGTTGTAAACATAAATAAAGGAAAAAAATGTCAGTCTTATGCTAATTATCAATAAACACTGGTACTGACATGAATAAACCTTTCTAACTAATTATTATGACAAGTATTTAAAATATAAATTTCTCCATTTCATTAAATTCAATTTCCTTGTCTTGGAACGATTTAAAGCCTCACTTGCATCATTACAGCACACATATATCCTTTTATATTACATTGGTGACACCTTGTTGCTCATCACTAAAGGAAAAGTTACATTCAAACTTCACTCTAAGGTTTCCAGTTTATTATAAGAATGTAGAAACATTTCAGGACAATGTGGCCTGGTGACATGTTTGGACAATCACAGGATGATGACCTTGTAACCCTGCTCAACGTATTTTGTATTGAAATGGCTGAAAAGAAAACAGGTACCAGTACTGTCATATTATCAATATTTCATAGTTGTAAAAGATCTTTTTTAGAGAAATCCCTTCAAGCATGTTAGTTATCTTAAACAAACTGCAATTATTCTTGATTATCTTTAATATTGTTACTATTGTATCATAAATTATGCCCCCCTTCAAAGAAGTGGGGGTATATTGATTTGCATTTGTCTGTCTGTCGGTCCGTAGACCAAATGGTTTCCGAGTGATAACTAAAGAACATTTAGGTCTAGGAACTTCAGACTTGGTATGATGATTGCTCATTGACCAGTAAATGACCCCTATTGATTTTGGGGTCAAAAGGTCAAAGGTCAAGGTCACATTGACCTTGTAGGTAAAAAAGGTTTCCAATCAATAACTGAAGAATGCTTAGGCCTAGGAACTTCAAACTTGGTAAGATGACTGTTATGACCAGCACATGACCCCTATTGATTTTGTGGTCAAGGGAATAAAGGTCAAGATTACATTGACCTTGTTGGTAAAAATGGTTTCCGCTGGATAAATAAAGAATGCTTAGGCCTAGGAACTTTAACTTGGTATGATGATTGTTCATGACCAGCACATGACCCCTACTGTTTTTGGGGTCAAAGGTCAAGGTCACATTGACCTTGTAGGTAAAAACGGTTTTCGATAGATTACTAAAAAATGCTTAGGCCTAGGAACTACAAACTTGGTATGATGATTGTTCATGACTAGTGATGGACCCCTACTGATTTTAAGGTCAGTTGGTCAAAGGTCAAGGTCACATTTACCTTGTAGGTAAAAACGGTTTCCGATCAATATCTAGAGAACGCTTACGCCTAGGAACTACAAAATTGGTATGATAATTGTTCATGACCAGTGGTTGACCCCTATTGATTTTGGGGTCAAGGGATCAAAGGTCAAGGACACATTGACGTTGTAGGCAAAAACTGTTTCTAAACAATAACTAAAGCATACTTATGCTTAGGAACTTCAATCTTGGTATGATAATTTTCATGACCAACAGATGATCCCTATTGATTTTGGGGTTAAAGGTCAAGGTGACATTGACCTTATAGGTTGAAACGGTTTCCAATCAATAACAGAAGGACGCTTAGGCCTAGGAACTTCAAACTTGCTTTGATGATTGTTCATGGCCAGCAGATGACCCTATTTGATTTTAGGATCAAGGGGTCAAAGGCCTAGGTCACATTGACTTTGTATGTATAAACACTTTCTGATCAATAACTTGACAACCCATGGGCTGTTGGCTCTCAGACTTGGTAGGTGCATTGGACTTGACCAGTAAATGACCCCTATTGATTTTGGGCTTGAGGGGTCAAAGATCAAGGTTGCATTGACCTTGTAGGTAAAAACGGTTTCTGATCAATAACTTGACAAGCTATGTGCTGTTGGTTCTCAAGTTTTGAAGATGCATTGGTCTTAGCCAGTAGATGACCCCTACTGATTTTGGGGTCAGGGGAACAAAGGTCAAGGTTGCATTGACCATGTATTTAAAAATGGTTTTCTATCAATAACTGGACAACCCATGGACCATTGACCTTGAAGCTTCACAGATGCATTGCTTTTGGTCAAAAGATGACCTCAATGGACTTTTGGCGTTAAGGGGTCAGAGGTCAAGATATATAGGTAACAACGTTTTTTGATCAATATCCAAACTCACGGGCCTTTTACCTTCAAACTTCACAGGTGCATTGGTCTTGGCCAGTAGTTAACCCCTAATGATTTATGGGTCAATGATCAATGTCATATTGACCTTGAATGTAAAGACTGATTCTGACCAATAACTCAACAACTCAAGTTGCCTAAAATCCTTTTGGTATGCACATTTCCAGGTCTTATCATCTTATGTAATATAACAACTTGACTGTCATTAATGAGGCATACGTGATTCATAAAATTTATGCATATATATTTTTTGGTAAGATTTGAAATAACATTGTCATAAAATTGTTGCACACAACCTTTGCAGTTACAATTACCTAGTGACTAGTCATGACCAGTAATTAACCCTTATTGATTTTTGATCACTAGGTCAAAAGTCAGTCATAATAACCTGATCACATGACTAATTGGCTGCCGATAGGGGGCATACATGTTTTACAAACATATCTTGTTAATGTAAAAATGTAATTATCAAGATATTAAAACTACTATGATTGCTATGTTTCAGGTGTATTTGTACTAACAAAAGTGGAGTTTGATATTGGTTTGTTATATAGCCAGTTATTGGACATTAATCAACAAATAAGAAACTGGACTAAACCCTCTCCTCAACAGTCGTGCACAGGAAACAACGATTTATTGGACTCCAGTACTTTATGATAGTATAAATATTCTGAGCCTGACAAGAAAACTACAATTTATTGGACTTGAATAAATAAAAATAAAATAAAAATGGTAATATGTATTCTGATCAGAACAGAAAACTATAATTTATTGGACTCAAGTAAATAATGATGGTAAAATGTATTCTGATCTGGACAGGAAACTATAATTTATTGGACTTGAGTAAATAATGATGGTATCACAGTTTTTAGTATATCACATATTCTGATTATGGCATTGATATTTCTCGCTTTGTGAGAATTAATAAAGAAATTGAGCATGGCTTACAACAATTTTGAGTGTTGAAAATTGAGTACCGCTTAAGCCGGTGCTAAAGGGAGTGAGGAATGTTCCACTTCTTCATTATCATTTATGTACAAACCCAATAAAAACCGTGTCTGCAATTTTCATGTAATTTTGTTGTTATTGATGAGATTTTACAGACAATGATTGATTTATCTCATTGTTAAGTGATTGTCGAATGTTTGTTAAACTCAGTTGAGATGTATATATTTTGAGCATACTAGTAAACAAGTAATGTGAGGTGGAATAGAATAAGTTATGCACCCTTATATTGCTAAATTTGGGACAATGTTTTAGTGATATATCACATGATAATGTGTGACATAAAATATTTTGTTCACGCCAAGCACAGTTATAGTTACAGTGCTTTATTATTTCTAACACATTTTGCCAGTTACATTTAATATGTCACCTGTGCTAGGCTTTTTCTATAGCGAACAATCAGGGTACCATCACATTTCATATTTGATCAAAATTAAATTGTTTTATGTCCACTTATGACATGATAAAATGATATGTTTTTATACAATTTTCTACAGAGAACAAAATCATGTCATGTAACTTTATTTGTAAGAAGTGCCAAATTTGTTGTTTGTTCTTCAAAACATATTAATGTTAATTAGAAAGGTTGTAGACTTTGTTAGAGAAATATTTGTTGTGATATATTTGTCACTATAATAAATTCCTTCATTTTGTTGTACATGATCATTGTCAACATGATAGATACAAACATAATATTCCAGTTAGCCTCTTTATATCACTGACTTCTAAATCAATAAAATGTAATGCAAATTGTCTAAATAAATTAAAAACAAAGACAGAGGAATAATTTACCCCTTTTACAGATTTTTATGCTCTAAAACCGTAATTTGATATGTGGCAGATGTAAAAAGAAATCCTTGTACTTCATCACAATGTTATTTTTACATGATCAAAAAAAAATTAATCCTTCTTAAAGTGGCATGATACATGTTGCGTCACTCAAATGTACGATCTTCATTTTATTTCTAAGTATATTTCTCAATATCATATATCTGTTTTATGTGCCCCGGGGTTGAGTTTTTTAAAAAAATTTTTAAATTTAATATGTTTGGGGGTTTGAAAACTGTTTGGTTCCTTTAAATTAAAATTTTTAAAG